ACTCACACTTCATAGTTCTAACATTCCCTCTTTCTTTGTGCTTTCATATGTGATGTTATTGGTCCAAAAGAAAATCCTAGAAATCTCTTGGGACTTGCATGGAATTGGTGTAAAAAATCTTGCTAGCCTCCAACTGTTATTTATTGTGTTTTCTATATCAAATGTGTTATTTATAGACCAAAATGATGGTTTACTCTTTCAATGGTATGGACATGGCTGCTACATGACCGCAGATGAAGAAATAAATGTGTTTTCTCTCAGATTTTAAATGTTCTTTAGTTTGAAGCCTTTTTTTCACAAACACCACAATTGACTGCCTCTTTTTTTACAGGAAGGAGCTGATAAAGCAAAAGAACTTCTTGGTGAGAACATCTACTGTAATAATAAAATATTTTGATTTTGTTTATTCTATCTGTATAACCTATCAGATTTTATTTATTTTTCAGATACTGTGATGAATATTTACATGAAGTCTATGGTTGAAGATGATGACAAGGAAGTGGTTGCTCAAGCATGCACCAGTGTGGCTGACATCATTAGAGATTATGGTTATGCAACTCTTACGCCTTGTAAGCATACAATTATTCAACCTATCAGTTAATGTCATTTTGCTTCTGAACGGTTGCTAATGGGAGATTTACTCTACTGTCAGATTTGGCACAGCTTGTTGATGCAACTTCATTGTTGCTTCGGGAGCAATCTGCTTGTCAACAGATAGAGTCAGACAGTGAAATTGATGATGTTGATAGTGCACACGATGAAGTGCTTATGGATGCAGTGTCTGATATTCTTCCCGCATTTGCAAAGTCCATGGGTGCTCAATTTGCTCCAATTTTTGGACAACTTTTTGAACCTCTAATGAAATTTGCAGTGAGTTGGTAACCAATAACTTTTACTGTTTAGGAATAAATCATAAATTAATATCTTCACTTTGAAATACAGAAATCTTCTCGTCCCCCTCAAGATAGGACTATGGTTGTTGCCTGCCTTGCGGAAGTTGCTCAGAACATGGGCTCTCCTATTGCAAGCTATGTTGATGTAATTTTATTTCTCCTTTTCTTAATCTCTTTCTTAAATTTTCCTTTTGTGATCTCATTTCAAAGTTATAGTAGGGATGTTGTAATTGATTTGCAACTGATCTCGTATTATCTTTCTCAGAGGGTGATGCCCTTGGTACTTAAAGAACTAGCATCATCTGAAGCAACTAATAGAAGGAATGCTGCATTTTGTGTTGGAGAGTTGTGCAAAAATGGTCATGAACCAGCTTTGAAGTATCCTTCTTCATGCCTCCCCACCCATTTGATAGTTGTATTCTATCGTTGTGTTTTGGGTTAGTTTGCAGGAGAAATATTTATATGATGATTCATGTCAATTGATATTAATAGTATATGCTATCTGGGGGCAAGGTTCTGCTCCCCTATACTTTGCATTTTCTTTAATCCAATACAAGATACTATGACAATATCTTACGTGGACTTCATCCCTTGTTTGGTGAGTCTGAGCCTGATGATGCTGTGAGAGATAATGCCGCTGGTGCCGTGGCAAGGATGATTATGGTACACCCTGAATCTATCCCATTACATCAGGTAATGTTTGCTTTATTTGTACGGGTCTTACTTTCTCAATGAAAACTGTAATCAATTCTTAAACTGGATAGTTTATTGCTCTGATTTTAATTTTGGTGCGAATAGTTTATAGCCAAAAGTCGGTATTTGATGTTTTTGATGCCTTTTACAGGTTCTTCCTGTTTTCTTGAGAGTACTTCCACTAAAAGAAGACCGTGAGGAGTCTATGGCTGTTTATAGTTGCGTCTCTACACTTGTACTCTCATCTAATCCCCAGGTAATTTTTTCTTTTTGAATGCGTTAAAAGATTCCTTAGCTTGTTTTGTTTCGTCAATGATAACATTGTCCTACCTAATTCTTTCTGTCCTTTTCTAAATGTAACGCAGATCCTCTCCCTAGTCCCTGAATTAGTCAATCTCTTTGCTCAAGTTGTGGTGTCACCTGTGGAGACGCCTGAAGTGAAAGCTGTCGTAGGCAGAGCCTTTTCTCATCTAATTTCATTATATGGGCAACAAATGCAACCTCTTCTGAGCAATCTCCCACCTGCACATGCAAACGCATTATCTTCTTTCGCTCAAAGGAGTTGATCGTGCAAACAAGAAGCAAATTGAATATTTTATGCAATTTTTTACTTATTATACTTATCAAGTATGTTTTTGAAGAAATGTCTTGTTAAATAGTGTAAGTGGAGCTGTTCGGGTCCGGCAGAAGTTCAGTGCCTTTACCAGGTATGCTACTTTTGGAAAAACCACCTGCGACAGTTCTTTGTCCCCGTTCTCTTCTATTAAACATCCTGAATATTGCAGCAATTTCTGAAAATTTTCCTTTAAAAGGCTTGCAGAAGCACTACTACTACTAGTTGTTAATTTGGTATTCCGTTAGTAGGAAAAGATTGCTAGGTAGAAGAGTTTTCTTTGCAATACAATTTTTTCCAGTAGTTTGCCTGACAACCTTGTCCGAAAATATGTTTCTTTTAATCAAATGCAGTTTGAATTCAATCAACTACTTACTTTTGATTATTTGTTTCTGCAGGATGATCTGCGGTTTCTCAGTGCCTTCTCATTTTTTTAGGGAGACACTTTCTTCCACCATTTTTTGATTGATTATTTCTTGTGTTATTCTTTAGTTTTTAAAGTATATCAATTTTTTTTTTCATACTATGAAATTTTGTTTGGTGTGTTTTCACTGGCTTCGAGGGTTGAGAGTTGTGTCATGGGGGTTTATGTATCTACAAGATGTTTTTTTTTTGGTCAAACCCTGTAACTGATTCAAAAGTATTGGACTTCCGAAAGCCCTCCAGTACAAGGGCGTTAATTTACGCGTTAATTGCACCTCTACTTTCTTTTTTCTTTGTGATTTCTAAACTATTGTTTGTCTAAATGAGATGAGTGTTTCTTTTTGAATTTTATTTTTGGAACTACCTTTTCAGAAAATAAATTCTGGAAGTGATCAAATTACTTACAATTGAATTTCAGGAATTTTTTAACACGTTTTGGAATGTACCAGTTACTCTTGATATTTTAATTTTATAATTTATTAAACATTTTACTGAATTGAAATTCTTGAAGTGATTATTTTCCAGGCAGATAAGGGTAATTTTGGAATAGTATATGAAGAGGGTTATTGGGTGTTTAAATTATATTTTGTAAAGCATAAAAACATGCTGTAAAAAATAGCTATTTTTTACCTCTCCCTAACGTTACAAATTACTATACTTTTTAAGCATTTTTTAACTAACATGATATAAACAAATAGATTTTAAATTTATTTGCATTCTTTAAGACTTCAAAAAAATATACTGAAAAGAAAAAAAAAAACTCTTTAAATCTTTATCAAATTTAAATACGTTCAAGTAATTTGATTTTTTTTTCAGAAGTAATTAGATGTTTTGATGAAAATATTAGAGATATTAGGTGAGTTTATTTGTACTTATAAAGAAAAAAGTCTTTTCAAGAATAAATATATTTTAGTTTGTTATGTGATTGTTTAATCTTTCTATTTCAAAACTAGGTAGTTTTATGTTTTTTTATTGAAAAAAAAATGTCTAACCTTTTAATAAGTGATTAATACTTTAGAAATACTTATTTCAACTTTAAATTTATTAAGTTACTATCACTCTCCACCTAAGTTTGATTTCTTTTAACTATGAAAAAATGATCATTTTCAACTACCGAGAAAAGTTTTTATTTTTTTTTATTGTTATCTATAAAATGTATTTGGATGAACTATTGTTTTAATCAATCATTTCGAATTATACGTTAATATTTCTGAAAATAATGATAAAAAAATATTTTTATGTCACAATATAATTTTCTGTTATTGTAAATATAGTTCAATAAAATATACTTATTGTCAATTTTAGATATAATATAATTTTTAATTTAAAATTCCTATTTATTATTACGAAAGTTATAAATATAAGAGTTAATTATATTTCTTTCCTATTTTTTTTAAATAGGTGTCTCTATGAATGATAAGTTCATCCAAATTTTTTCTATACAATGTTTTAACCTTTACTCAAATTTTTTTAAATGCAAACAATGTTTATAAAATATATTATGCGTAAATTATTGTTAATTTAATGAACATTAATCATATTATATTTTTTAAAATTAAGTAACTTTATGATAATTTTATTTAACAGTGGGATTGAATTGAATAAAATAAATAAATATTTATTAAAATTGAGTGTATAATAAAGCTCTTAAGATACATTATATAGAAAGAGTGTGAAAGAGGGGTTAAATATCATTTTATTATCTATTATTTTTGAATTTTTGTTTCAATATTATTTTTAATGTTAATTTAATCATATTTTATTTTTTTTTAGAAAGTAAATTAATGACACTTTCGTCGACATTATTAAGTTATTTGAAAATAAAAAGTTGTAATATGGATCATATTTATTAAAATTGGTATACATGTCTATCTATATTAACATGATTTATACATTATGAATAATATATTACATTAATATAGATAGTTCATAATCTATAAAATATTATTTTCCAAAAATCTTATAAATGAAAACGCGAAAATCTTATATAAGAAAACAATATTTTTATATAATAACAGAATAATGTTATTTAAAAACGATGAAAGACATGTATGAAAAGATAATATTTGTATATAATGGTATATAAAGTGAGTAGAATATAAATGGAGCACGACGCAAACACGAGATGGTTTTATTGTTCCCGATCTGATTAGGTATACTCATTCCTTCGTCAGCACATGCCTCACCCACGCGACCAGAGATAAAAATAAAAGCTTCAATTCATTTTTACTGTTTCAATTCCTATCTGTGATTGTAATTATCCTATAACTCGTGGGAAACGTGAAGATGGTGAAAATCAAATTCACTCGTTCCAGACAAAACCTTTGATTTTCCATCATTCTCTTGGCAATTTTTTTTTTTAATTTTCGAGTGGCGCCATGGATCCGGAGCAGACCTTCATTCGCGTGCAGGAGAGGTTTTCGCAGATGCTGACGCCCAAAGTCAGAGTTGCTCTGGAGTATCTCTACCTAGTCATTGCCATAACCTTCTTCTGCATTCTCGTTGTTATGCACGCTAATTACGTTCAGCAGGTCTCTATTCAATTTCAGCTTCTTCTTCTCTGTTAGGGCTTTTCGATTTTAATATTTGCCTCTCCTGTCGTTATATTTTGTACTGATTGTGAGTGGTTTTAAGAGAATTAAGTGCTGATGACTTTTGAATGCTTGAATATACCTCAAAATTAAATGTATGATCGTGAACTCTAATTGGGATAAGGTGAAGTATTGAAATCAAAACCTTGCTTATATCAGTTTTGAAAATTGGAGCTGGATTGTGAGCTTACGATTTTGAGTTGTATAATTATATTTTTTTTCTTTAAATTGTAGAGAAAGTTTAGTTTCTGTAAATAAATTTCACTTATCACAGAAAGATGAGGGTAATTTGGTAATATTTACCTTGCATGATAATATTATAAATGAAAAACTCCTTGATTCTACTTAATTTTTGAAGAACATAATCTATGGTTTCTTATATATTTTTCTTCTCTATGTGAAGCCTGGGTGTTCAAGTGAGCTATCTGGAGTTTTGACATCAGAAGCCCAACTTATTCAGATTAAGGTATTATTTTCCATTCTTTAAATGCACATTCTAAATTTGTGCTTTTAAAAGTTTTTCTCTTTGATCAGACTATGTGAATATATATATATATAATTATGCTATAAGAAATCTAATATTGACATACTAAAGCATATATTTGTCTTTAAACATATCACCTTTCTTTTATATAAACCCCTGGAATTGCCGGCTTCCTTCATCTTTCATTTTGGTAAGCTTCAAATAACATACTTCGAGGTTTAACTATTATTTGGGAGACATTTTTCTATGTTCGTTTGGTTGTTTTGCTGCCTACATGACACATTTGAATTCTTTTTTGTAGATAACTAGTGCCGGCCTGTGGTCTCATAATGATTCTGAATCAAACAGAATAGATCCCCCTGAAACAGAAGTTGTAAAAGATAAAATTGAGTTTTCTGATGCCAGTGCAGATAAATTGACAATTTTGGCTTCCAAGTTTTGGTGGAACTGGATTGGTTTAAGTTCTAGGAGAGGAAAATTGGTATTCAAGTTTTGGAAAACTGACACCGAGTTTCTTGAACATCAAGCTGAAACCTCTACAAGTAACCAAAACACTAGGCCTGTGGTTGAAGATGCTGTCATCAAAATTGATAAGGATGAGCCACCAAAAAGTTTTACTTTATCTGCCAAAGAGACACTAAAAGCAGCAATTATACATTTTGGTAAAAAGTGGTATAGGCGTATCTCATTTATTTGGAGACACACAATGCAGATTATTGGAAGTTTCCAGAAGCTGTGGGTTAGTAGAACTATATTCCAGAAGCTGATGCGTTCTTGTTCTTTCTAGCAAGAATTTAAAAAATTTATGTTGATATCAATTTAATAAAACCTCTGCTAAGCTTTGAGTTTTCGAGTGTAGAATATTGCTGGTGTACATCTAAATCTTGATGTTCCCAAATGGATGCATATCCTTCGTTTGGACAAGCTTAACACTAATGCAGGTAATTAAAATATTTTCCTCTCATGTTTAAATTATAATTTGTGCCATTTATAAATAAGGAAATGTGATTGTTGGGTTTTCTTTCTATCTTTCAACAAGTTTCTAGTTGTGTAGGTCTTAAATAGAAAATGGGTTTAAATAATTGTTTTATTCCTTATAAAGTGGGAGCGTGGGTTTTTGTAATGTTGATTTGAATTTATATATTTATCCAAATTAAAACTTGATATGGCATGGGGAAAAGGAAGGGTCTTGTTACAAACTTATGTTGGTTTTTATTTGATCAAATATTAGACTCAGAAGGTAATAGCCTTAGCACTTTGTGTTTCTCACTTAGTAAATTTCAGAAAAATGATACTAGTGTAAAAATGGTTCCTTATGTATTATTGGATTTTCAGAATCTATTTACTTACGACAATTAATCAGGAAACATGAAAAGCTTTTTATGTTTTTTTTGTCTTCTAACAGAAAATTTTGAAGTATAGGATATTGAAAATAATTAATTTCTGACCCTTTTCAATTTGCAAATTGAATTTGTCCTAAATGGATGCCTAGTTTTTATCTGATTCACTTCTCTCTATTTGTTTCTCATATTCTATTATGTTTGAAATTTTTGTTCAATAAGTTTTTATTTTATTTTTACAATTTCAGTGCAGTGGTTTAGAAAGAAATGCCAGTTATTTGAACCTACATATCTGTACACTATGGAAAAGGTATGCAATTCTTTTGTTTTCAATTTTTAAGACGATTAAGACTGAACTTTAAAAAAGATAGTACCTAGTACCTACTTGTATTACTGAAATAGATTCTGTCAGTTTTTCAAAGCTACGTTTCATGTTGATTCTGTAATTTATCAGAAACTTCTCTTCTCTATAGTTGACTGAATTATCTTATGCTGCAGGGCTATTTCTTGTTACCTGAAAGTGCTAAGTCTCTTCATAATATACGTACCATGAATGTTAGCATATCAGCTTCGCACTCCTGCTTTGGAAACAAGTAAGGAAAAGTATTAGCATGATTATATTATTTCAATCTAGAAAGTGACAAGTCATCTCCATCGAGAGCTATTTTTGAATAGTTTTGATATCAAGGGGCGTAAATTGTACAAAATTGTTTTTCTTATCAGGATTTCATTGATGTTATATAATAATGCTTAATATTTTATTAAGATGTTACCCTGTATTTTTCAATTGGATATATTTTTTATTTTTAGGTGGCAGCAATTACTCATAAACAGATTTGTCGGATATGATACGATTTTAATCAATAGTTTATTGAGTTCTCCTGGTCAAGGTAACTGCCTGTTTTCTGGAGAAACTAATTTATTTAGTTGTCCACTGAGAACTGCCTTGGACATTGTCATCCACATACTTTGAACTTTCAGGATTTAATTATGTGGCTCAAATTCTTTTGGGACTTAATGGCAGGTTATCTTTATAACTATCAATCGAAGGAATTCTATAACCTTAGTTATGCACAAGAAGCTCCTGAAGGCCCAGCTAGGTTTGGAGGTTTGTTGATTTATCCTTCTATTTGCTTGAGCACCCTATATTTGAAGAGATTGCCTTCACAGTCTCAATTTCAATTTGAGTTTCTCCTGTTTGCCCCAATAATCTGAGTTGGTCTCATGTAAGGACTAGCATAACGTGCATTGGTTGAATTCAAATTTTATATTAGCTTGATCCAACATTTTTTCTGCATAATCCTCCAAGTTCCTATAAGTGCCAAATTTTTTTGGAATGAATCAGTTTACAGATGAAGAATAGAAATTGATATTATTACAATTTTGAATGTAATGTCTTTATGATGTTGACTTGTGAGATGCAATAGAGAATTGCTTAGGAAGTTTAATTTTATGAAATGAAGCCTTGAACTCTCGGATATAAGGCTTTTAGGAGTGCCATGCACCTTCATTGTGTTACTTTTGAGTGGTATAGTTTGGAAGTGATGATAAATTAGGTGGGGGAATTCATGGATACATGAAGATATTAGATCAATGGTTGAACGGATTGAATAAAAAAGGCACATCATTAAACAAGGTAGTTTAAGTACAGGATAACTGAGCGATCATTTGCTAGAGATTAGAAGAGAAGGCATTGATGTCCACTGGGTAACAATATCTTTAGATTTTGTTAAAAGTATAGTTTAAAATATGGCACTTCAGCCATTTTTGCTCCAAATTGGCTGCCTCTTTTAATTTACTATCATATCCAGGGAATTTTTTCCTTCTATTTTGTTTAGAATTTGTTTCTTTCTGTTTTGTTTGCTTTTGAAGCTTACATTATATTGTGTTTTGTGATGTCAAATATAATTCTGCTCTTTTACTGTTCATTTGTAACCTGTATCATTTGCCTGTGCAGACTACCTAGTAACGAAGTGTGGCGTGCTTATGATGTCCTTGTTTGTATTTTTTACTACCACAATGTCAGTATCATTTACATTAAGAGAAACACAGACTCGAATGCTGAAGTTCACGGGTAGGTATATTTTGTTCATTATAGAGTGGTTTCCTTGTGTGAAAACTGATTTGGTGATTCCTGTGTCGATGCACCTATCCTGTCATTTTGCCCATTGCCCCATTTATTAATTGCTTGCTTTTAAATTCACCTAAATTAAAAAGGAAATCATTAAGGTTTTGTTTGGTAGAAAGGAAGGGGATGGAGGGAGGGGGAGAGAATTAATTTGGTTGGTTTGGTTGTTGCAGAAGATAAGGGGATTAGATTTTTAAAAAAGGTGGGGGCCACTGAATTATTTCTTATCCATTTCTACTTATATGTCCTCCTTATTTCCTATTAAATCACACAACTTTTAGAAACAGTTTCTCACCTATTTCTACTCTACCAATCAACTAAACATTCGATTTTATTTCTTACCTATTGCTCTTTTCTCAATTTATTTCTTCTTTATTTCTATCTTCTTTATTTCTTTTCTCAAAACCAAATACACCATCAGTGAGGGTTGTGAGAAGTTCTATCACTTATTGATTGAGATATATTCATCAGAGACATGAGTTGCTTCATAATCTTCAACTATGCAAAATTTGCAGAATCACTGGATTCACCTAATAATGGTTCAGTCAGTGTGCTTTGATGATAGGTTTGACTTGTGTAACCACACAACCAGCAAGTAACTTTTGGTGTCAAGCTTCTTAGAAATTTAATGAGAGAATTATTGGTGTATTAGAAGATGTTGCCATTGAAGACAAATCAACAGAGGTGGACACTTTTAAGTGGATAAATTCATGTAGGGTTAATCCAAACGCATTAGGGTTTTAGCCCTGCTCTTGATACCATTATAGAATTTAGAGAGAGAGAATGATTAATGTCACTGAAAATAAGCTGTATTAGCGATTCTGTAAATGTCAGTTTCAAGTTATAGAAATCAATGAGAGAAGGTTCAAAATGAATCAACAGAAGTGGGCTCAGATTGAAGCGAATAATCATATCTAGGGTTGGAAGAATTATCCAAGTGAACTAGGGTTCAAAACGTGGTCTTGATACCATGATAGAATTTAGGGAGAGAGAATGATTCATGTAACTGAAAATAATAGGTATTATTGATTCTGTAAATGTCAGTTTCAGCTGACTGAAATCATATATTTGTTTGTATATGACAGACTATGGGCCAGCTGATAAGCTTGGCCCAGATTTCTAACCATCGCCAATCAAACAGAGAAAAGGAGAAGTACAGTGTAACCATAATTGTTGATCTCTAATTCTAATATTATTCTCTAATAGTGATTGGAAGGTTAATTGAAGAAGGCACTCATCCATGAAGTCTAACGAATTAAGTGTGCTAATTATTAAAGCAAAGTCATTTTCCACTATCAAATATGCCAATGCTGTCCATGTTTTTGCCATACATTTCTGCAAATGGGATGAGATTAGTTTTTCACATCTGCTAGTCTTTACAGTGCAGCTTCAACATCATGCACGACATCGCCTTCCAACATTTCAGCTGATCTTTGTACATGTGATTGAATCACTCGTTTTTGTTCCTGTAAGCACTCCTTTTAATAGATTTACTTTTGTCAAAAGTTTCAATTTGAATCGCGGTATGTTTGTGCTATTTATTACTCTATTTGTTTTGCTGATAAATTGCTATTAATTTCTGCAGATTATGATTGGGATTCTGTTTTTTCTCTTTGAGTTTTATGATGATCAGCTTCTTGCCTTCATGGTCTTGATTCTTGTCTGGTTGTGCGAACTTTTTACTCTCATTAGGTATTTTTCTCTCCCTCTCTCGTTACTATCTACCCAACTGTTACAGTATGTTAATAAGAGAGCGTGTCTGTGGATTTGTCACTCAACAATTACTTTTGGTTCCAAAACCAGTTCAGGCTTGGTTGTGCGCTGAAGTTGACGCAAGTGGACTTTTTAAATCATAAGTTTACTACTTTTTATGTAGCTTTTGATCATTGGACTACTCTTCCCTTCAGAGGGCAAGTCCAAATGTACTTTGCCAAATTTTGGATTGGTTAAAAGGGAATACAACTGCAGCAAACTACATTTTTACTTTTCATCCATAACCAAAAAGATTTTTACTGCTGTTTATATGACAATTTATTAATCGATTCATGTGATGAGTATTTAACTAACACATAATTCATCTGGCAACTTACACTGTTAGCACATGATCCCTAATCAAGAAGGTCTACAGAGGACATAAGGATGGGGCTCTATAAATGAAATAGACCAGCCTCAGTTAGTTACTTAGCTAAGCTTGTAATCTGTTTGAATAGTTAATTTGTCAGGCTGTGATAGTAAGAGACAAAGAAGGTAGAGGAATGGTGTTGATCAGTTTGTTTCGGGATTCCTGACGAAGGAAGTTTTGTAATCAACTCTCTTCGTAACCCAAGTTCCTTGACCTAGGGGGATCACATTAATCAAATTTCTACATTTTTGTTCGTTCTTTTAATATCCGGACCTGTATGTATCATACATATTTCATGCACATTTGTCAGGTTGTGGTCCAGCCAATGATGGTTATCTAATATGATTGTGTTCATTGAAACTTGCAGTGTGCGAACGCCGATATCAATGAAGTTCTTTCCTCGGTTCTTTTTGCTGTATTTCCTGGTCTTCCACATATATTTCTTCTCTTATGCGTATGGTATGCTCATACTGTTGTAATTTTGTTTTTTGGTTTAGTTGGTTTAAGTTAATTTTATTGGAAAATAATGAATTTTAAAATTTCAGGTTTTTCATATTTGGCGCTCTCTACAACTGCAGCTTTTATGCAACACCTTATCCTGTACTTTTGGAATCGGTTTGAGGTAACGAGTGATGACCATTGGCTTATTACAAATCTCAGTATTTTTCTCTGTTTGGGTTTCTTAACCATTTTTTTGTTTGTGCCAAGCCAAACATCATTGCCCCTACTAGATTTCCCCCCATGTAGATCCAACAATAGTCTAGTCTTTCTGTAGCATGTGTTTTGCTGTCTGGCAATCTGTTCCTCATGAGGATCTCTTTCCTAGAAAGATTATGAAAACCGTGCTCAGAAGGGAGAGAGCGAGAGGAGAGAAGTATTATTGGCTAGATGAATATCATATAAGGCATTTGATGGTTCCTTAGGTTCATTTCTCATTATTACATCTTTGGGATTTTCCTTTTTGTCTTATGGGATACTTGATGAGGGTCTTGCAAGAGGTGGGTTAAGTGTGATGTTTGAAGCAAACGTCTATAGGAATTCATTCTAGAATTAGGAGAAGGTTATGATTTTCAGAGTTTAGTTCTTGTTTACATTTAAAATGTTTGTTATTGTAATCATGCCTTTAAATATGCTCATTATAAATTTGCTCATGTTTACTTACTGAAATTTAACTACTACTTTGTTACTGATAGGTACCAGCATTGCAAAGGTACATGCAAAATAGACGGTCACAGCTTCAACAACACCCAGATTTCCACATTACCTCTTCTACTATTCTTGCATCAACGTTACATATCACAAGATTGAACACAAGAAACCAGGGATTAAGTAACACGGATTTGCCGACTGGTGCAGGACTGAGACCTGGTTTTGATCAATCAATGCCTGAAAATGGAGGAGGAGTTGGCGACCCTCAAGCACGGTCAGAAAATAATCGAGACAGGGTTGCGAACCAGACAGAGATTCCTGAGCAAGCTGACAACCGACAAGCAGAAAGGGGTGCGAACCCTGGATCCATGAATTCATTCAGTTCTTTGTTATTATGGATCTTAGGAGGTGCTTCGTCTGAGGGCCTGAACTCATTTTTATCCATGTTCAGAGACGTGAGAGAGCAAGGACAAGTTTTTAATAATGAAACACCCGGGGCTGGGGTTGAAAACCGTGAGAATCAGGATAACAATTACAGATAGCGGTGAAGTGGATGGAGAACTTGTTAATATAGGAACAATCATTGTAACTACGTCATTTCATATACTTAAACTCGTCTGTATAATATATATTCTTTTTCTTATTTATAGTTCTTGCTTATAAATGCTGCAAATTTATCGCTGTTAGTTTTTCCCTATGGAATCAATCAATCAGTATTATGTATAAAAGAAATTTCAACATATTTCAATCATTTGTACGGTTAAACTTGTAAATAAATTATTTTACAAACTGTATTAAATGATTATATAATTAATTTTTTATTTAAAATGCATCCAAAATATAAAACTCCACTTGATGGATAAAATCATAAAATTAACATTTTTGGCCAAAATACAAAGGAACGGGGGAGTGTCATCGCCGCTTCAATTTGTGTGAGAATGCAACGACGTTTATTTTTATCGGATTAAGTTATTATATTTTTCCTTTTAAAAATTAATAACATAATTGAACAGGCTGACAAAAGTAATGCATATATTTTTCTCTAAACAAGGTATTTGTTCCGTTATTCTGCATGCAATGTTGATGTTGAAAAAATGGTGTGTTTTCATTGAAAAAATTTATTGGGTCGAAGATACAATTATTATGTAATTTGGTACATGTTGATGATACCATAGGTTGGAATAGTTTTAAGAAAGCTGTAAGATCAATAAAAGTATGGACTTTATTGAAGCTTTGAAGAAAACAAAATCAGTTTATTGTAAATGACTTCACAATATTAACATTCATGAGAGAAGTAAATTCATGTTAAAATTACCTCAATATATCAATAGAAAATCGTTAAGATGAAAATAAATATTCTCTTTTACGTTAGAATATCATGTTAATTAATAAGTTCTTTGTTATGTGTTGATTTCGAACACATATTACGTTTATAACACTAATTGAATGAATATTAGATATTATTTAGAAGAGATCTGTAGTAATAAGTTTAATCTCTTATATAAACTTAAAGTCTTGATTATGGTGAATAAAATAAAGGAAGAAAGGTATTTTCTTAAGTCGTTCATGATAAATTAACTTATTAGAATTACACAGGAGCTCAAAGGATGAAAAATAATATTTTATATTTTTTATAATTGATTCTCAAATGTAAAATATGTCTCATTTCATTTTATTACGACTTTACAAAATATTGTTTGACGGGTAGTATTTAACCTAAGAAATCATATACAAGTGAGTATTATGATATTTGCTAAACAAATTAATTTTAATATTTGATTATTAAATTAGAGAATTTAATGTGATTCAATAATAATTAATTTTATGGAAAATATTTATATTATTTGTTAACACCATAAATAAAATAATATAATTAAAATATTTTGATATTTTAAATAAAAGAAAATATTCATTTTCATTGGAATCATTAAACGAGATTGAATTAAAATTAGATTTGATTTTATTGAAATCATTAAATTAGATTCGATCATGTAGAATAATAACAAAGTTGTTATTGTGCTTAAAAGATATATATTACTAATTTTTGTTTTCTCTTACGTACTACAGAATTAACCTGCCATTGTTCATTTGAAGATAAGGAAGTTATGAATTATCCCTCTTCTCTTCTCTCTTAGTTTATAAGTAACAAAAATTTGTAGAGATTCACTTTATTCTTGTTTCAGAAGTTGTTGACAATAAAAGTTAGTCTCAACATGTTCACGTAAAATCCTCTTACAATTGATGAATTTCTTGAATGTTTGAAGAATTAATTATCCTGTACTTAATTTTATGTATGATTTCTTATGTTACTTATGATCTAGATATAAAATAGATCCTTATTTTTTTTTTCTACTGCATGTTATGAACACCTTTAAGTTTTTCTTATAATTGAGACTTGCCGAACAGTAAAATGATTCTGATCTCTAAACTCATGCGAGGTAGTGTTTAGAGGGTCAGGGACTTGATATGCAGCCCTTAAACCTGGAATCAACCAGGTGTTATTACTTTCACTTTACTAATTCCCTCCATCGTCTTGTTTGGTTAAAGAGAGTACAAATGGACTTTTTCTCATAGTATTCTAGCAGAAGCTGCAACAACAAACACCTGGTGAAACTCTAGTTGCATTTGTTGCCTACTGTTATAGATAGGTACACATATATTGTATCTTTGGCCACACTTACTCCTCAAATATTTAAACAAGTAATATGCTATGTAATATGTGCTATGTGCTATGTCCAATGAATTAGTATCCTAAGGCGAACAATGTAGATGTTTCATTGTTCTATACGAGGTTTTTGCCCTGAATGGTGCAAATTGTGCTGGTTGGCAAGTTGATGAGTTAGATATCCGATCTGGAAGGAAGCAATCTAAAAGATTTTGCATTTGGCCACATTAAGAGGCAATGGTTCTTAGGAAGGAGACACCAAGTTTTACTGCTGAAGACAACTTCAGGCGAAAGTTCTCTTTGGTTTTCAGTAGCCCTGACCTCCCTCATATGGAAGCTCAACATCTTCATTCTCTGTGCACGAAATGCATCCATTGTTGTTGTGCTTCAGTGAGTTGGTTGCCTGCTATTGATGTTGTTGGGTTGGATAGGAGTTACTATGCATGAACAGATAATAAAAATACTCTTTTGTCCTCTCTATCTTGTAGCAATCATGTACACTGCAGCTGGTCATTGTAGCAACAATCTTGCAAGATACTAACAGCTTCTCTCCGTTGTTCTTCAGTTAATTTTGTGGGGAAATCAATCAGGAATTTAACATGAAGATCACCTCTTTTCCCGTTATTTTTGGCGTTTGGCATTCCTTGACCTGTTATAACCTTCTCATATCCAGGATATATTACAGTACTGTCAAATGACAAAGTCATATTTTCCCCTCCTAATAGAGGGATTGGTATGGAGCAGCCTGTTAGTGCATCTACAAGAGGAATCGCAACACATATTTCTAAATCATTGCCGTTTCTCCTATACAAAGGGTGTTGCTTTTCATCAATGGAGAATACTATATCAGCAGGCAGGTATCCAGGCTTCTCATCACCTACTCCTTCAAATGTAATCTTTGTTCCTTTTCTCCATCCTGGCTTCACCTCAATTTTTAAAATTTCCTCCTCTTGGATAATTACCCTGTTGCAAAACTAAGTTAGAAACTCTCATCTAAGCAGATATCATATCAAAGAACATTGAATTTGTACACCCTATCTATACTATACCATCATTATATAAGTAATTTCCTAACTACAGCAATTTTAGCGACAGAAAATATTCATCTGTAGAATCATTTGACAGAAACATACCCAGGAGGATATTTGATGACATCTCTAGTAATCTTAATCTTTTTTGTGCAACCAAAGCATAAGTTCTCTAGTGAGCAATGGAGCTTTGTCTGAACATCTGGGGGTTTCTTTCTAGATGTTGTCTGTGAAAATATGATAGGTGTCGTGGACCTTCCGCTCAGATTACTCGAAAGAGAGACTTCAGAGATATGCTCTGTCTCTCCGGAGCTGGTTTTTATGTCTGTGTTTATTGTTGGAGAGGCTATAGTGTTGTTGGTTAACTCAGGTTCAGAGATGTCCAATCTACTTTTGTTCCTTGATAAAGACGCTGAGGAACTTCTTTTGCTCATAATCCTTTTGATAGATGATGTAGCAATTTCTGCAGCACTCCTTCGACTAGAATTTCTTGATAGATAAGTTGGAGTTTTGCATGACCGACTGCTTCCATGTCTTGACATAGGCCTTGATTGTGGTGTAGGCGTTTTAGATCTTCTACTTTCAACCCTTGACAAAAATTTAGGACTCCAAATGTCTTCATCCACTCTCTTATTATCAATTTGCTCAACCTCTGGGGATGATTCATGACCCTGCACGCATTAAAAAACCATGAGAATATCTCATAACATGATGCATATATAAATATTGTTGGCTTGCATGAAACTTTATTGTTGGTTTAACATTATAAGTTTATATGATGTGCATGCATGATTCTTTTTTCCTTTCGTTGATCATTAGTTTCATTAACTCAAAACTATACACAGCAATTAATGTTGTATGTTTTGTTAAGAAAATCAAGATGAGGAGCATGCACAGTTTTAAGATCACCTCGGGGGTTTTCTTCTCATGATTCCGTTTGGATACAAGCAATTTGTAAGCCTTGGTCACGTCTCTAAATGATTTGGTTTTTATGTCTTTCAGTGATTTAGTTTTTGGAATCTTAAAGAGGTTGGCCAAATCCAATGGTTGGTAGCGTGAGTGGTGTCCCATTGGATTGGAGATTGAGATTTGGAGGAGCAGAAAGGAAGAAGAGATGATATGTGAAGAGGGATGACGAAGAAGACAAGAAAAAAGTTACACCATAAGACAAGACTTGATGAAAACAAACGTTTGAACATGCTAGTTTGGTTGTGTTATTTGTTTCATGGTACGTGGACTTTCCCTATATTTAGTGCCATGAGACGTAATAATCTCTATTCGAAACACAACTTGTGCAAACCAATTTGTAATTAGAATTCTTGTTACGGTTGTTATCAACTAACTCATCATTTTAGTATTATATTCATTTGGCCGGTTTAGAAATTTTTGATGGTGGATAGAATAATAATTAATATACAGACCAAGTATTTTTATTAGAAAATAGAGAAAATGACATTCCAACTTCATTGCAACATATAACAAAACAAAAAAAAATCTATCATTATGCACAATACCATTTTCTAAGATTAGATTTACTGTAAGATTTTGTATTATTTATTCCAAAACTAGTCTCCAAGGATGACCATTTACTGTAATATTATTCATGGTGATATAATCCAAAATGCAAGAGAAATTAACACAAAAATAGTCCAAATATGTTTTTAAAATATGGATACAAACTATTATGAAGCAGAAAAGGTTGACGGCACATTGTTTCTTCAGTTAGAGATTTTCTACTTCAACAGTTTCAGGTGGGACAGGGACAGGACCATGAGAAGCACCACCACCATCATCATCATCATCATGAACAGTGGAAGCATCACCTTCAACAGGAACTGTAGCGGGTAGGTCACTGCCTCTACTCTTCACAGTCTTAATGTATTGAAGGCCACAAGCATTGCAGAGAGTCTGCAGAAATTAAGAAGATTAAATGGCTCCAATTAACCATGCATGCTCATTCATATATATTTATATATATATATATATTGAATAACCTTTAAAATTGTATTTGTATCCAAGGACACATGCATGTATCACTATCATACAAAAGTGTAGGTTCTGTTATGTGATAGTGGATGCATTTGTTGTATGCTATTGACTATTTACCTTTGGTCCAAGAGGTCCCTTGCGCCACATGGGAGTTTTTCTTGTCCTACAGATAAAATTTGTGCAGAATCTAGCTGGATCACTGCTCTGCTTAGCTTCTCCACCATGATGATGACGGCGGCGATAGCGCCGGCGGCAGCGACCTTGTGAGGCACTTGGTGTTGCCAAGGAGACTGAGGCAATATGCTGAGTTTCAACTTCAGAGATAGCTCCTTCAGCAGTTTCCACTTTAGCAGCATGCTGAACTTCAGCAATTGCATCCTCTACTTTCATCTTCTGCTCACAACCATACTTTAGCTTACTATGTTACCAATAATTTCATTTTTGTGTTCTGTGACATTCTCATAGATGCATGACAAAGCTAAGACTTACTTGCTTGGTATTTGGAGATGAAGTCTCGTTTTCAGGGTTGACATCAAAGTCTTCCACATATGGAATGTTCAAGTCGAAGTCATGAACCTTTGAATTTGGTGCTTCATTACTCTCTCCATCATCCATACTTGCAACTCATTCAAGATTCCTAATCTTCATTCATGGAATAAAAAAATGAAACTTAAGTTTGAATATTTTAAACTCAGATTTTCAATGCATACATATTTTACATAATAATCATTAGTGCATCATATACAAAAGGTTTTCGTTTAATTTTAAATAAGTGAGTATAGATCAAACAACTCATATTTTCATTTTAATCAATCTAATAATATTCAAAACACAGTCCAGTTTTCATTGAAAGATTGCAAGATAATAAGCACATATCACATTGAAGAGTAAAGAATGTAAAGATGGAGAATGAAGTGAAACTTACAATAAACTAGAATCTAAATCATATTTTAGGTTTTCCCAGGCCTCAAGGATATGAATGAGATTGATATTGAGATTAAAAGATTTTCTTTTCAGAATTTTATCTACCATCAGAGTTTATGAAAGGTAACTCACAAATAAAGAAAATATGATAAATATTCTATATATTGTCTATATGGATATTTAATAATATAGATAGAATATAAAGTAAAAAATTAAGATAATATTAATTGTTTAAATTCAAAAAATGTTATTTAAGGAGTGATTAAAACTAAATCAAACTGTTTTAATTCACTAAATTGAAAAAAAAAACATTTTATTAATAGTTTTTTTTACCTTTTCATATTTTTAGAAAATTCAATTGTATTATTTTAATAAAATTATGAAGAAAAAAAAAATCTAATCCCAGATAAAATGAAGGCCAATTTAAATAAACATGAAACACAAAAAAGGAATGTCATTACATCTTTATAGACCATTGGAAAACATTGAAAAAGTAAATTAGGATAATTATTTTATGCTCTATTTTAATTTCACTTTGTATTTTGAAGATTAAGTAAATAATCATAAGAAATGTTTGACAATATCGATGATCAATATTTATCAAAATTACTTAGTTATTTCATTATTAAATTTTGTAAGAGTATTTAACCATCTTAGACTTTAATTTTTTTTAAATCCTAAATTTTAGTTTTCTTGTTAATTGATTCTTAAACTATTTTTTTTTCATATATAAATAAGTTGAACCTTGATTTGTCCTAACTGGACCTAAATTTTATCTGTTTTGTTTTTTATTTAAAATAAAGAACCTTAATTTTATAATAATTTTTATATTAAAATGAGGTTAAACTACCATAAAACAATGAGGTATTTTCATTCAATATATATGTAAAACAGAAACTATTAAGTTTAAAGATTATTTAGACATAAACTAAAATTCTCAGTTTCTATTTATTAAAAAATATTTAAGAAACATTTATAAAAAAAAAATTAAAGTTCAATTTTTTTAATTATAAATAAAATAAAATTTGTGAATTAATTAAGATAAATATAAAATTTAAAGTTTTTATCTGTAGAAAAAAGATAAAGTTCAAGGAGATTAGTTATCATTTTTTCCTTTGATTTTCATAAAGTTTTCATTTTAATTATTATTATTATTTTCTAAACAAACCAAACAAAATTTATTTTAATAAAAATCTATATTATTATTTAAGAATGCATTCTCATAGTATTTCATATTTAATAACATAAAATCTATTAAATGGTCCATGTAATATAACATTTACTAATATTTTATAATATATATATATATATATATATATATATATATATATATATATATATATATATATATATATAGAGAGAGAGAGAGATAATTTTCCTATTTGTGTACTTTTAAAATCACTAGTAAGTACTCTTAAACATAAACATAGACAAATATATTTATTTTAACCGAAAATCTATCTGATTCAACCCAAGTTAAGAATATATTAATGTATTTGAATATTGTAAAGTTGAAATAAGAAATTGTTTTATTAGGCTAAAAGTGCCAAACATTTTGACCATAATTATTGTTTAAAATATGAAGGCTTTTGAATTATGTGGTGCATGTAGTTTTCATGCTTTATCTTGATCATAATCTACATAAATTAATGTTTTAATTTCAATTTTAGTAAGAAAAATATGAACCAAATTGAAGTATTTTAATCCAAAAAGTTGAACTCATTGGGATTAGATAATTTACTACAACACCTTAATTTAAGTAGTCTTAAAGTTGCTTTCTTTCTTTGAGATATGTCTTCATGGAAATCATTTTATAGTCAATTTTTTTTTCTATTATTAAGATTAAATAATTTTTTTATACATTCAAAATTATTTCCTGTCAAAATTATTATCTCCGAAATTTCAGTACTTTTTATCTATAATATTTCATAAATATGTTATTGATTCTGAAAATAAATATGTTACTTTTGAAGTTATGGAAATATTAATTTTAATACTAGTTAGTTTTGAAGTTAATGAAATTTATTTAACCCTTATAATTATAATAAAATAAATTAAAATTATATATTCAATTCTGAGAGATTAAAATAATTTTTTAAAATTTAAGAAACCAAAATAAAATATCTTCTAAATTTCATAAATTAACAATTAAAAAAAAAAATAGTACAAGACTACTTAGATAAACCTTACAAACAAACAAGTGAAAATGTATTGCATACAGTTTTTGAATTCCGACCAAACCTAACGAAATAAACAATTTATTAAAATAAAAAAACAAAATATGTATCAATCAATGCTTACCACTGACTCGGACAGTATGCAATTTATTATTTATAATTAAATATTTGATAATATCATAAAGAAAAGTCAATTTAATAATCCCATATTTTATTTTTTTTTAATCTTATTTTAGTGAGTATTTTTGTGTAGAATGACTCATTTTATTTTTCATGTTTTAAAATTATGCAGTCTAATCCTTCATATTTTCAAACAAAATAATTACGGTTAACAACAAAACAATTTCCTAAAATATATTAGGCAATACAGTATTCAGTTCTGTCATATGCAATCTTAACTTTTGAGATATAAATACACATAATTTTCATGTAACATGGGAAAGGTCAAAGACCATGTGTTCCACAGAAAGAAAAAACACAGAAGCTGCATTGAAACCAGAAATTACTGTGTCCAATGGGTGGTTCATGTCGGCAAACTATTCAAAGATGGATACAATTCTTCCACCATTGGAAAATCTAACTCACTCAACACTCAAACAGTCTTACTCATCATTGACTACAACAAATATGGTCACCTTTACTCATTCAATCATTTGGTCTCAAAGTATCTTCTATGTTATCATCACTACCACTATATCAGACCCTTACTACTACTACCACTACTACTATTGAGTACAATTTTCTGAGTCTTTTCTTCCTCTCTTTTTATTGGTGTTAAATTCAACCACAGTTACATCAGCAGCTATGCAATCAAGTACTAATGTTTATATGACAGACATTGACAACGTGTGAAAGGTTGAAAAAATAAATATCTCATTCACACATGATTATCATTGTCATTGTATTTGTAGTATTAATATTCCTTCAGTGTGGTAATCCACGTAGATGCACTGTGCAAAGCAAAGTGGCAAAGTCAGAGCACCTCACTTGTTTAGTTGCTTTTAAGCAAGTAGCAACAAATGCAGCCACCCCTCCCACTGCCATCACTAAGCGCGTGCCTCTACACTCGTTTCAATTCTTGTTATTGCTTTGGACTCACCACGCGCGTGGTGCACACTCTCCTCTCTAGATATGTGAACAGCAGATACACCTAACGCAGCCACAGCCATCAGGCACAGACAAGAGATTTAGAGTTTTGACCATCCTCATATGATCATTATCAGTGTTCATTCATCTCCCTTAACCCCAATTTCACAAAATCAGCATCTTTTGTCTCACTCATCTCGATCTTCCAAACAAAGCCACTCATATATTCATAAATAGAAACAAAAAGCATCTAGCTCATTGTAGCATACCATACCATAGGTTGTGCGTGTAGTTTATTGTAATCAACACAACAAACACAACACAACACAATCATCATAGGATGAAGGTTGTTATGATGATGATATTGCTACCCTTGATGTTTGCAATGTTTTCTTGCATGAGTTTGAGTTCAGCAGCACCGTCTCCATCTACAACATCCACATGCCCCATGGACTTGAATTATGTGCTGAGAATCCCATGGAACACTTCTGCTTGCCACAACTTCGAACAAACTTTGGCAGCAAAAAATGGAACAGATGCAAACAATTGTTGCATATCACTGTTGTCCCTCTTTGGCGTAGGACTTGCACAGCATCTCAAAGAGACTTCTCAGTTCCAACTCCCCAACCTTGCCACCTCATTTTCATGCATCCAAGACTTCCAATCTAAGCTTTCTTCCCTCTCTCTCCCCAACAACCTTGCCGACTCCTGCTTTGACCCTCTTCAGTTTGTGATCTCCCCCAACATCTGTGCTGGGATTCAAACCATCTCTGATTGGACCAAAAAGCTTGGTCAGTCCACACCACTCAATACTGCTTGCAAACCGGATCTCACCGATCTCTCCCACTGTGATTTGTGTCTGGCAGCTGGGTTACAGGTCAAGCAGGAGCTTATCTCCATAGATGGTAACACTTCACATTCCATAGAATGTTTTTACTTTGCCATTCTCTATGCTGCTGGGATTGTGAATGAGTTTGGACCTGAAAGCAATGGTGCTGTGACTTGTATTTTTAGCATGTCGGTTAATTCACAAGGGGGGTCTGGGGGAAGGAGTCACCAGGCTCTTGTGTTTGGGTTGACAGGAGCTGGGGTCGCTTTGCTGGTGATGTCTTCTTTTCTGGGGCTTTATGTGTGGTATGACAGGAAGCACAGGAGGAAAAAGGATGAGACTTTTCAGTTTGATTTTGACCCTGAGGAACAAGGGTCTAGGCGTAGATTGAGGCCAAATACGGGGTCCATTTGGTTCAAAATTGGGGAACTTGAGAAGGCTACTGATAATTTTTCATCTAAGAACTTCATTGGCCGAGGTGGGTTTGGCTTGGTTTTCAAGGGAACCTTGCCTGATGGGACTGTGGTGGCGGTTAAAAGGATCTTGGAATCGGATTTTCAAGGGAATGAAGAGTTTTGTAATGAGGTAGAGATTATCAGCAACCTGAAGCACCGGAATCTGGTGCCTCTAAGAGGCTGTTGTGTGGCTGAGGAGAGTGAGAATTATGATGAAAGGGGAAGCCAAAGGTATCTTGTGTATGATTACATGCCAAATGGGAACCTGGAAGACCATCTCTTTGTATCACCGGACTCTCAGAAAGCAAAGGGATCATTGACATGGCCCCAGAGGAAAAGCATAATCTTGGATGTGGCAAAGGGGTTGGTCTATTTGCACTATGGAGTTAAACCTGCAATTTACCATAGGGATATCAAGGCCACCAATATACTACTTGATGAAGATATGAGAGCAAGAGTTGCTGATTTTGGTCTTGCTAAACAAAGCAGGGAGGGTCAGTCTCATCTCACTACTAGAGTGGCTGGAACTCACGGATATCTAGCCCCTGAATATGCACTCTATGGTCAGCTCACTGAGAAGAGTGATGTCTATAGTTTTGGTGTGGTTGTTTTGGAGATTATGTGTGGGAGGAAGGCTCTTGACTTGTCTTCATCAGGCTCACCAAGGGCATTCTTGATCACAGATTGGGCTTGGTCATTGGTGAAGGCTGGTAAGTTAGAAGAGGCTCTAGATGCTTCCCTGGTGAAGGATGAGAACTTTCCTAGCTCAAATCCTAAGAGCATAATGGAGAGGTTTTTGCTGGTGGGGATTCTATGCTCCCATGTCATGGTTGCTTTGAGGCCAACAATTTCTGATGCTTTGAAGATGTTGGAAGGTGACATTGAGGTTCCACAAATCCCAGATCGCCCTATGCCTCTTGGCCACCCTTCCTTTTATAACGATGGCAATACTTTTAGCATATCTCCAGCATTAAGTGGCCCCAAGTTGCAAACTGGAGACATGCTCAGGTAATGAAGAAGTTCCCTTATATTGCTTGAAATGTACAAAAAAAGTGGAAGCTGTTTCCATTCTAAACTCTGCCAAATGGTCCAGTCAAATCATGTTTGGTAACACCACTTCATTTGAGGTTAATGAACTGATCAGTGTCATCAAGGTACAAATAAATTTCCTCCCAACAAAATGCTCTCAAGATGTCAAGATCCAAGCTAGCAATGACTGTAGGATATGCAGTGTTATAATCCCAACCATGAAGAAACTAAGCAGTTAGCAGGGCATCATTATAATCAGCTACCAAGGAAGCTAAGGGTCATTTAAATAGCTGAGGATAGGGTATAGTATAGGAACTTAGGACATAGGAAAAATGTCTTGTAAAAAGGAGGTTGCATTTTCCTCTTTCATTTATTTTCGTCTCAATTTTCTTGTACAACAAAGTCACAAATAAAAACTCTTGTATATAAAGAAAAATATTAAGGTGTTTTCTCAATTTCTTTATTCCTCCACCAAGTCTCCCATGTTTCTTCTTTCTATGTTAATTTTTCTATGCTATCTTATTTTAGATTTATGTGCATAATTATAATTTCACTGTGTTTAAACAGGTCCATTAACGAGGGCTAATTTCTTCAAAAGGATTTCCAAGTCCAGAATCTAGCATATTGTTTTTTTTCGTATGCAGCTGTTCATCAGAGCAAGAGCATTTTTTTTTTTTTTTGCGTTTGCTCTTCTTCCCCTGTAAAAACAGTTTTGGAATATATTATGAGCTGTTTTGATATATAACTCTGCAGATCTTGTAAAAATTCTGTACAAAATATGTACATTGTTTTGATGTTTTATCAACGCATTGGAATTGGAGTTCTGTTCTCTCTGTAAAAACCAGAAATCATACCGGTTTTTATTTTTCATATTTTGAGACTAATCCCTTTCAAATATATGGACAAGACTAGATTTTGTTTACTTTACATTTTCACATGATGTTATAATATATATATATATATATATATAAAGAACAAATGTCATGAGCAATTAAGAATTTGTGCAGTGAAGAAAATTATGATTATCTTAAAAAACACAATTAATTACACTAATATTTTTTTGAGATTGTTTAATCTCATTTTTGTTTAAACCCAGGGCTGAGGTGCTTCATAACACCATGTGCTTACCATTAGGTATTTGTTATGTTTTAGATGTTTAAACTCTATCTTTTTTTAAACTTTTCCATGTTAAAATTTGTATTCCTAGTTTACTATTAACACATTAGTAGACCATGAATTTTTTTTGAAGTTCATGAACTAAAATATAATGATTGGATCTTATTATGAAAATTTTGTAATTGGGTTTCTAGAATTAGTTTATAACGATTTGGAGCTGCTAGAAAAATAATAATTCAATTTTAAAAATTATGGAAGATCAAGGATTTAACAACATTTTTTTTTTAATTTAAGAGATGATCACAATTTATTATGAGAAAAGTACCAAGAACAATTATATTTACATAATTACTTTATTTAAAAAAATTATTTTATAAGTCTATCTAATAATATAATAATAAAAAATGAGTTATTGAATGAATGTTTGATTTGAGAAACTGTGAAACTATGTTTTCCTCGTGGTAAGAGCAGGGACACGGTAAAAGGTAAAAAAAGGTGAAAGGTTTGTGAATTGTACGTACGTGCGGAAAGGGCAGAACAAAAGAGTTTAAGGAGAACGTGGGAGTGGTGAGTGTTTTTCTTGACTGACTCCATCTTTCCACACAACAACACATCGAGTCATCGCCTCCGCACTGAGAGCTGCGTGATCTCATTCACTTCACTTTCTGTCTTAATGTCAAACCCTAACTAACGGTAATGGCATTTAGATCTGCATCTTCGTTTCTCATTCTCATTCTCGTCCTCGGAATTGCTTCCGCTCACACCCCGACTCCCAAAAATGTTCAAACGGCTCTTCGCGCTAAGTGGTTCGGCACTCCTCTTCTTCTGGAAGCCGGGTACGCTGTTTTCGCTTCGATTTTGATTTCGATTTCAATTCACACTCTCCTTTTTCACCGATCAAACCATTCTAATCTTTTTACTTATGTTTCAATTCGCAGCGAGTTGTTGTCCAAAGAAGAGCCACGCCTTTTCTGGAGCTTCATTCACGCTTGGCTCCATGCTGATCACGGCGACGCTCATTCTCATTCCGCCAAAAGTTGCGTAAACAAAATTCTGCAACATTCGCGCCCTCTTTTGAAAGAGCCACTGGCGTCGTTGTTTGAGTTCTCTCTTATTCTCAGATCAGCTTCCCCTGCTCTCGTGCTTTACCGCCAGTTAGCTCTCGATTCTCTTTCGTCTCACGGCCACGCTGAAATTAACAAACTAGACCCTTTGCATGTTGGGGTAAGCCTCCAGAGCCCCGGAGGAAAGTGTTGTTGGGTGGACACTGGTGACAGTTTGTTTTTCGATGTACCTGAACTGCTCCTGTGGCTTCAAATCCCTCAGAAGCAGTGAGTGCTATGCCACTGCTCGTGTTCTCGTTTGTTTCAGTTTTTGAAGTTGTGTTCTTAATTATTAGTATATTGCTCTCAAATGGGTACTTGTTTATCGTCAGGGTGGGTGGTTCTATTCAGGGACCGCAACTGTTTGATTTTGATCATGTTCATTTTGATTCGAGTGTTGGGAGTCCATTTGTTATACTTTATGGCGCACTTGGGACGGTTTGCTTTAAGGAGTTTCATGCTGCTCTGGTTGGAGCTGCTCAACAGGTCCATTTGTTAGCTTTCTGTTTATGGTGCTTAATGAATATTGCATTATATTCTGTAACTACTGGCTTGTTGCATAAAAACATTATAACAACACTGCTGTTGTACAAAGAGGATGCGTACCATAACTATTCATTTACCTTTAAGATAATAAAAAATAGGGAGAATCCCAGTTCGGGGTGTTTAAAATGAAGGGAAAATAGCCATTCCTATTGTTATTTATTTTCTGATAAGACAAATTCATCCTCATGAAGAAATTATAATTGGTGCTAGCAACAAGAACCATAAGTACTTATGGTTCCTTCGGGGTAAATGTTTTTAATTTAGACTTTCCGTTTTGGAATTTTCCGAGTACATTCTTGTAATCATTCTAGACATTTCTTGTTTCCCTTTCAAATGTTGACACATAGTCCGAATTTTTTCAGGGAAAAATTAATTATGTATTGAGACCAGTGTTGCCAGCTGGATGTGAAGCAAATTTTGGCCACTGTGGCTCTGTTGGTGCAAGCGAGTCAGTAAACTTGGGTGGTTATGGTGTGGAACTTGTTTTTAAGAATATGGAATATAAGGCCATGGACGACAGTACAATTAAAAAAGGTTGAGAATTCACAAGGTTTTAAATTTTTTGTGTAGGTGCAATTTCTTTTAGAAAGTAGGTGACAATGAATTGTAATTGCTTTATTATCCTTTTCATTTTTTAAGGTCATAAATTTTTAAGTGTCATATTATTGTAGAAACTAGACAGTATGTATTTCTTCTTTTAACGTCTGTGTATCATTTCAATGTTTTCATTTGTAGAGCTTGGTAATATTTTTACTTAATCCCCATAATGAAACTTCTCTCTCTTCGGCCTTACTTTCCTTTTTCATGTTATTTTGTAGGTAATATGTCCTAACTCTCAACTTCTACTCCTGTTATTCTGGCTTTGACTTTTCAAGTTTGATAATCCTATGAAATTTGATTATTGATTTCGGAAACAGATAATTGAAAGAAATATTTCCTAATTTTAATTAATCCAGGGTTTACAAATTTATTGGTCTTTATTATGCATTGTTCATCAAAATAAAATGGCAAAGGAAATTTTCTGTAATTACAGGAATAGGTTGCTTGAATAATTCCATTATTAATTTTGTTGTGGGTTGCAGGTGTGACTTTGGAGGATCCTCACACTGAAGATCTTAGCCAAGAAGTCAGAGGATTCATATTCTCTAAAATTCTGGTGTGTAAAATGTCACCTATATTTTATTTTGGATTTGTTTCCCCTAAATTGAGGTGTACACTAGAGAATAAAGTGCACTCACTATTGTTGATTTAAGGTTAATAAAGCGCACTCATAATTGTTGAAGTTAATTACAATCGCAATTGTTTATTTTTTATTAATGGTTATTATTGTACTTTATTCGCCAAAGTGCAGTCCATTCACTTTAGAGGAGTCAAATACTTTGTTTTTTGTCATACACTTGTAAGAAGAAAATAATATTTTTAGACTCTATCAAGTAATTCTGTTATTTGTATAGAATTAAATTAGAAAGGATGTCTTTAGGTGCCAGATTCTGTCATACAACATATCTTTAGTTTCCTATTTTCATAATTGATATGTGCTCGTTTGAGCAACATTAACCAGGGAATCTGGTTTTAAACTTCTATATGCTTCTTTTGTTATCATGTGATTCATGTAGTGAACCTTACTTTGTGGCATAAGGCTTTTGGTGCTATTGTTGAAAGTGTGAAAGGAAAACCGCTAGTACATTAGATGTTATATGTTTAAAGTGTAGCCTTTGCAGGGTCCGAAATAAAATAATGAGAGAGAAAGAAATGAAGATAAAAAAATAGAAACATAACCAGAATATACAGGGTGCATGGCGACTGCATCGCACTGGAGTTTGGAGAATACATTGGAAAAAGGCCTTCTTTTAGTTTATCTATGATGACCACCCCAATTCACCTAATTGTTGAGACTTGAAATGGTTTATCTAGAATTGATTGTTTTCTCACGCATGCTAATATGCTCTAACCATTCATGTATTGCTGGCTATTTTGAATTCAAAACATCTGTAACTTCCTCTCAATTATTATACTTATTCAGGGTGCATAATGTTACCTTGGTTCTACATATTTGATGAGTAATGATGACATTTTCTATTAAATCTGTTTGGTATCAATAAATTGACGTAGAGATTTAAAATTTGTTGTTTATACATATGAATTTAACTATTTGTGTTCACATACAGGAGCGGAAACCTGAGTTAACATATGAGATCATGACTTTTAGGGATTATCTATTGTCATCAACTGTATCAGATACACTTGATGTTTGGGAACTGAAAGGTATTTCTGTAACTTTTTCTTTTTGGTGATAATTGATATTGGTTGATGATTTATTTTCAGTTTAGTGAGGTTTATTGAACTGTGCATTAATATATATTTTAATTATAACAGATCTAGGGCATCAAACTGTACAGAGAATAGTCCGTGCCTCTGATCCACTACAGTCAATGCAGGATATAAATCAAAATTTCCCTAACATAGTTTCTTCTTTGTCTCGCATGAAGGTAAATAACCTTGTTACTTGTGTTGAATGCTTAAACATAAGTCAGTTTCCTCCCAAGTAATTGTTTATTGTTCTTATGGAACTGTGATGTGCAACAGCTTGACGATTCTGTCCGAGATGAAATAATGGCTAACCAGCGGATGATCCCACCTGGCAAGTCTTTAATGGCTATCAATGGTGCTTTAGTCAATGTTGAAGATGTTGACCTTTATCTGTAATATTTTTTCTCCTGCTGATATTATTCATATTATACGGTTGAGATATTATTTGTTGTTGGTATTTCATGCTTGCACCTGTGTTGTAGCCTGAGGTTACTGTTTCTCTCTATAATATAATCATATGAAAAAAATGATGGTATTGCATCCTGATGGTTCTTTCGTTGTGAATAATAAAGCTTGGAAGTTTTAGATCAAGGTCCATTTATATTTCACTTTCTGTTTATTCTGATTGTGCCTATCCAAGATAGCTTATAGTTATCTATTGGAACTCCTCATTTAAGATAGCTAGTTATTGAGTTCAAGGACCCTTTTTTCTACACTTATATATGCTTTAATTGGCTAATTATTATTTTAGAGAGTTATTGTTGTGGTTTTGAGACCTGCTTTATAAATATGGATTTTTCCAAAGCTGTTGAGCTTGTTGTGGGCTTGTGGCTGTGGCTATTGGATTGTGCTTATTTTACATTGCTGAGGCCTCTAGATTACTGTTTAGCAAGAATTCTTACCAATATTGTCAAATTCCAGAGTCTATATATAAACTCATAGACTTCACTCAAAAATTAGTATTGCTTAATGTAAAAAGATTGTTGAGATATGTTGTTTATGTATCTTTTAGTATTCTTTTTCAATGTTCCTTAGACTAGGGTTAAGGGTTTGGGATGAGGTCTATATCCTCTCTATTGTACCCCTTTTTCTATAAATACAATGTATCAGTGCCTTTGGTCACTGCATCAAACCCTAAATAAGTTTTCTCAAGTAAGATAATATTGAAAAGACCTATTAATGATATATGCATAACATAATACTCTTCAACATCAATAGTTCAACATTTCAACTCCATAATAAAATAAAGTAGCAAACCACACAAATAAAATGTAATAGTACAAAACAAGAACAAACTACATAAATGACCAAATCATACATAAATTCATTAAACATAAGTTCCTAAAGTGAAAACATTTTAAAAAATAATTATTTTAACTTTTTTCTCTATTTAGAGTTGTAAACTCGAATGCGTATACAAGTTATTGACCCCTACCTGACATCACCTTTGTAGTTAGCATGGTAAGCTAGTGTTGAATGCCCCTTATGATAGTAATTGGGATGTTATCACACTTATTTTTCAGTACATAAACAATGCACCAAGACTAGGATTATCGTAATAAGTTAACAACAATGTCACAATCACTTGTTGTTCTAATATTGACTGGGTAGAATCACCATCTGTCAAGTTTCCCTTTTGGATATCATGTTCTTATTGGAGGAGTACGAAGCAAAACATATTTGAATGATCTAATGCAGAAGCTGAATATCATGTGAAGGAAGCATCTACATGCAAGCTTACATGACTTATACAACTATTGCAACAACTAATTAGGATAGGATACAAAACTTATATGTGACAATCAAGCTGCACTTCACATTATATGAAATCCAGTCTTTCATGAATGAACTAACTAACTAGTTACACTGTTCACTCAGTCATAGGCTCTCGTGTGACTACATTTGCAACAAACATGTCTCATATGACATATATGTTATAGCTTGAAGTAAAGTGATAGATAGTATATTTAACACATGTTAAATATATGCAAATAGAGACTACGGTACATTAGGGATGGGGTTGCCACAATTTTAGGGGTTGATTTATTCTTATGTATTTATGGTTGATTCTGTTATACTGTAATATGTTATTATAAATAAGCCTGAAGTGTGAACATGCCAAATGAAACAGTCAGATATATTTCTTCTATAGTTTTCGTAAATGATAGCCCCATAGTGAAAGTATATAAAAAGGAGAGTGAAAAGAAGGGGTGTGGAAATGAAAGGGCCACAAATGAAGTGGAAAAGAAAGAGAGTGGTGGGCATAAAGGCAGCTGATGCAAGGAGACTGGTCAGAGAGATATGGGAATCATCCAGGAAGTTGGAGAGAGTGGGTATTTGGAGGGGGGAGAAAAGGAAAAAAAGGGAGAGCAGAGAGGAGGAGACAGTGGCCAGGCTGGGAGGTGAAATTATTCCTCAGAAAAAGCATTTTAAGTTGTTTTCCTATTTAATATTCGAGAAGGGTGCTTTGCTCCATTCATATTGTTTCTCATTTTTTCCTCGATTATACACTACAATAGAGGATTTTTCTTTGTTTTGAGTCACTTCTCAGTGCACTTCCTAATTTGTTTGTAATTTATTTTTGGTGCCTTTTGCCAGACATATTGTCCCAATCTTTGATTGTAAATGTGGACAATGACTATTGAAAAGTTAATGCATATCCAACTGCACTAAAATGCCTTCTTGGCATATGGAGTTTATAATTTATCATGTTAAGCTTGATTTCAAACATGCAAAATTGTGGTTTTCTGTAGTTTGTTTCAAACTTACTTACATGGATAAACTTAAAGTTAAATGAAAAATTGTCAAACTTTTGATATTTTTATTATTCTTACCTTTCATTAGGTTGATTGACTTGGTTCATCAGGATCTGTTGTTGGCTGATCAGTTCTCAAAATTGAAGGTGAATGGCATTTAATCTTCATTTTTGCATACTTTTAGTATTGGATTAATTTCTAGCTTAATTGTTTACTGACCCTATTATTAATATGGACACATTAAATATTGTCTGCTGCATTAATATGGACCCTATTACTTACACCTAACTTAGTAATTGTTTCTTTAGGTATCATCCCAATACATTGTCATTTCATGTAATCAACAATCTTCACCTAAGAAGAGTTGGGAAAAAATGTTGTAAAATGGGAACTAAGTGAAGTAGTTGATGACATTGCTTTGGTTGAAAAAATCTGCTGCTGGAAGAATAAAAATTTAACTGTTAAGTATTTGTATCCTTCCATTTATGTTTATAACTCACTGTGTGTTTGTGTATCTTTTGTGAGAAATGACATAGATACTTTGGACTTGATTGATGCTTTAACATATATTTAGAATGTAATAGTAATCCCAGTAATTGCAGATACCTCCTAGTATTGCGCAGAAATTGCTATCAACTTTACCTCCTCCAGAGTCCAGTATGTTTCGTGTTGATTTTCGTACTACTCATGTACATTATCTCAACAACCTGGAAGAAGATGCCAAGTACAAAAGGTGGAGGAGCAATCTAAACGAGGTTAACTAACTTTGATTTTAAAACTGGACAATATTATTATTTTCAAATTATCCCTGCTTTAAATTAATTGAAACACAACCTTTTCTGTTTTTTAGATCTTGATGCCGGTCTTCCCTGGGCAGCTACGTTACATCCGTAAAAATCTTTTCCATGCTGTTTTTGTTCTTGACCCAGCAACAATTTGTGGTCTTGAGGCAAGTTTATTTCCTAAAGCTTAACAGTTTCACATTGTTCTTTGTAACCTAGTGTTTCTGAGTGAAATCTCTCATTGCGTGCATTATTATTTGGAACCTTTCAGTCCATTGATATGATCATGTCATTGTATGAGAGTGATTTTCCTGTGAGATTTGGGATTGTGCTGTATTCTTCAAAATACATCATGGAGTTAGAGAACCATTCTGCCAAAGAGGATGGAGATAAATTTGAGGATATATCTGATAAGGTAATATTCACTTTTAAATGTTCAGAAATGTATATAACAATTTTCTCAGGAAATTTTATTGGCAAGTTTATGATATGTTGTTTTTGCTGTTCCACTTTTCAGATTATATGTCTCTTCAACTATATCAAGGGGAACCACAGCACTCAATTAGCTTTTGAGTTTTTAATCAATGTATGATTTTGTCTTCAGTGTTAGTTATCTCCTGTTTACTGTTTAGTGCCATTAGAAATATTTATATGCTATGTTAACATGATTGAAATCCAGAAGAGTCATATGGGGAGAAAATTGAAAGCTGTAGCTATATGTTGACACAGGCATATGAATCCGCCAATCTTGCAATTACCTGTCTAAGTTCAGACTTTGGAATGTGTCATGTTTCCTGATGCGATTCAAAATTTAAAATCCCCACCCCTTCGTTCACCTTTTTTTTTTTTTTTTTTTTAATTTCTGTAGCTCTTAAACTTTTTCTATATGATTAACTAGTAACAACTTCAAGGACTTCTCCCCTCCCCATTAACATAGAAAACAAGATAATCCTAATGCTTTAATACAATATGCACATATTTTGTCTCCAAGGTTCCAGTTTAACAAACTTTTTGTAGTATGGATAAAATGATATGACTATATCATATATATGGTCTTTTGTCAGTACCTTGTTGATATTATTGAGTCATATAGAACTAGTCTGGTTTGAAATTAAACTGAAAGAACATTATTGTACATGTTTTGTAGGTTAACAAATTACGCATTGAATCAGATGATGGTCATCTTGAACTGCACCATGTTGAAGGGGCATTTGTTGAAACAATATTGTGAGTGTTGCTGGCCTTTTCTGTTAACTACAGTGGTTCTGACCTTTCTCTAACATGACAGTTCTACTTTTTTTTTTTTGGTAACATTCTGTGTTTATATCTGCATTATTCCCTCTATTCTTCAATAGGCCAAAGGTAAAATCCCCACCACATGAGATATTATTAAAGCTGGAGAAGGAGTCAGAGTTGAAGGAATTGTCACAAGAAAGCTCCATGCTTGTATTTAAGCTTGGATTGTCTAATACTCATTGTTCTCTGCTGATGAATGGACTTGTTATTGATCCAACTGAGGTACCAATTTGAATGTTTTCCTCTACCAATCTTTTGTTATTGCTGCCATCATTCCGCATCACTTGCCACTGGAAGTCTTCTTTTTTCCAAAAGGTGGAAATGGGTGTGTTAGGGTTGGGCTCAGGTTCATCCTTAGTCAAGCAAAGCAGCTGGGATATACTTTATATTAAATATATGCAAATCATCAATCATCACATTAAGGTATAGAAGCTACTCTGCCATTATGGGCGAGGGAAGTTCATAAAACATTGTAGATTGAGGAATTCTTATAAAAGTTTGGATCGCTAGAAAATAGAAATAGCAATTAAAGTGACTTTTGAATATATACTTTTCTAAGGTAGCTGCCCTAAAAATTTTGTAACTGACTTTTTAAAACTTTAATCCTGACAATTAACAACTTTCACATCTATAGTGTGCATCCTACGGTACGAAGGATCCAAATATAGTTTAGTAGTGTGTTATTTAACTTTGAGTTTACATTGTATGCTCAACTTTTGTTTCAAGCAGTCACTTTTCATTATTAACTATAATTGATGTCAATGTGTCGTCACAATAGAATGGTAATAAAAACATGTTTTTCTGCCACTTATACATTTGCAATTGCTTTTACCAGGAGGCAATAATGAATGCCTTGAATGATGAGACTCAGAGAATACAGGAGCAGGTATATTTTGGACAAATAAAACCACATACTGATGTATTAGCCAAGTTCCTGTCCGAAGCTGGCATTCAACGTTATAATCCTCGGGTATAGTATTAATAATTTGCATCATAGGGGAAGCTTGTACAATGATATTTTGCTAACGAACTTGTATTTGGTGTATAGATTATTTCTAATGGTAAACCAAGGTTCATATCTCTGTCTGCATTTTTTACTGAAGAGGAGTCTATACTGAATGACATTGATTACTTGCATTCTGCTGGAAGTAAGTAGTTGAGATGTTAGAAATTAATAGATTCACTCTTACATTTTTGTTTTTGTCTTACCATGTGATTGTTTGTATGCAATCCAGCAATGGATGAGTTGAAGCCCGTGACACATCTTCTTGCTGTTGATATCACTTCAGGGAGTGGGTTGCATTTACTTCACCAAGGCTTAAATTACCTGGTTAATATTGATTTGCATTCTGTTGAACATTCTTCCTTTTAGCTTTTTCTCCTAGCACATCAAGAGTTGGACCACCACTTATTTAGTATATCTGAATCTGAACATTTTTTTATTTTGTTTCCACATTATGCTACAGAGAGAAGGGTCAAAAGATGCTCGTATAGGTCTTCTATTTAATGCCAATCGGAGTACAGATTCATTAAGCCTCCTTCTTGTGAAGGTTTTTGAAATCACTTTATCTTCATATAGGTTTGTTTTTTCATTGTAGAATTAGTTTACCTTTGATTTATTAGTATTTTGATTCTGCAGTTACTTTTTGAAGTTTAAGCATAGTTTTATATGGATTGTGTGAACGCATGGTTTTATGCAGTCATAAGAAAAATGTGTTAGACTTCTTGGATCAGTTGTGCGTACTCTATCAGCAAAAATACTTCCTCACATCAGCGGTGGAAGTTGAAGGGACCCAAATATTTATTGATAAGGTCTGTGAGCTTGCTGAGTTGAATGGGTTACCCTCTGAGGGCTATAGATCCACCCTCCCAAAATTTTCTGCTGATGAAGTGAGAAGGCATTTGAGCAAGGTATTTCTGGTTGGTTTGCCATTTAGATAATCACATTTGGGTGCACATCTGACCCATCAATGCTTCCCATTCACATTTTACCTTTACGTGTATTCATTTGATCCTAGTACCTTCTAGAAATCATTCTATGGTGATCTTACTCTCTCCCCTTCATTTATTTATTTTATGGATTTTTCCACTGTTCTACAGTCAATTGCAGCCTGGCTATTTTTCATTGGTAATCTTGGAAACCTGTATTAATAGAGCTTCTTGCTGTCAGGTGGAAACATTTTTGCATAGGCTACTTGGGTCTGAATCTGGTTTTAATGCTGTCTTTACTAATGGAAGGGTAAGTTTGCCTTGGTCTCTGATTATTTCATAGAGTACTCAATTTCTACGGTGTCCGTGCATGATATTAAAGTTTGATTAGTTTTTCATCATTGATGAGATCTCTGTCTGTTATCCTGGGTTAACCTGAGCATTTATGTGTTATAGGTAACTTATCCTATCGATGAACACACATTTTTGAGTTCTGATCTGCTTCTTCTCGAATCAATAGAGTTTAAGCAGAGGACAAAACACATTTTGGAAATCATTGAAGAAGTAAAATGGCAGGATGTTGACCCTGACATGCTGACAAGGTTTCTTGATCTTTTCTCTATTTATTTTTGGATCTGTATTCTTGGTTATTGCTTGGTGTTAAATCTATCATCCTCCCATCATACTTTCATTTTACATTCTTTTGTATGAAAGAATGTAATCATTTTCTAAGTAATTGACTATGTGCATGCATTACTTCACACCAGTTATTTTCTCTATGCAAGTAATCATATCCCATTCTCATCTCCATTCACAGATTGGTTATCCAGATTAGCATTCCTGGGGCCTATGCTTTTTTTGCTCAGCAAAGAAGGGTATTATATTAATAATAATGGTACCAGAGGTACCTAAAAGTGTTACATACGTATCACCAAAAAGTAAATTAGCAATGAATATCTGGTTATAGTCTATTTGTATGCAATGCAATGACATAATAAACTCTAACCAGATTCCCGCATAAAACATCTCCACCACCTATATTCATCAATAAGTACATCTGACTACATTTGGGGACCATACGTACATTTCACTTACATGGTCGTCTGAGCTTTATGCAAATAAGACAAACATAACGTGATTCCTGCATTAAGAGGGAAATAGTAGTTTAGAACAAATGCAAGTTTAACAACACTTTTATTGTCTGTTACCTATTTTTAGTCTGTGCTCTTTTAGTCTGTGTTCTTTGCAGTCCTCAATCATACCTGAAATTAAAGTTTGTTTAATTGTTGAGAAATCCTTACAGAAGTTCGTGAAGCATTTATTATATCAGTTTCTTTTTCAGGCATTGATGGATAAAATTTGCAAATATTATTTGTAGTTGTCCAAGCTTTATTTGTTTTCCGAAAAAAATACAATGCTTTAATATTTTCTTATGTATTTTTGTAGCAAATTCATTAGTGATATTGTCATGGCCGTATCATCTTCAATGGCTATGAGGGAGCGAAGTTCTGAGAGTGCTCGTTTTGAGATTTTGAATGACCAACATAGGTAATTTTGTTTAATTACTTTATACTCAATTTAGATAGAATTACAAGTGGAAAGGAATGAATCCTGCTTGAATTTATTATTCTTGAGGTTTATATGATTTTAAAAATTTAAATACCATTGTTTTCTGCAGTGCTATTATTCTACGTAATGAAAATTCTAGCATTCACATTGATGCTTGTCTCGATCCTTTAAGTCCTACCAGTCAGAAGTTGTCTGGAATTCTTCGAGTTTTGTGGAAATACATCCAACCCAGCATGAGGATTGTTCTGAATCCATTGGTTTGTTGATATCTATAATTCTATAACCACTTAAATTTTTTAAATATTCTGATCCTCTTTTATGAAGCGTGTTCCTTCTTTAATTGTTTTCTTAGGCCTTCTGAATAAAAATAAAGAAAAAAAAATTGTAATTTTTGTCTCTTTCTGTCATCTGGAATTTGGAAAATATAATTTAAATTAAGAGTACAATATTTTGTCTTTATTCCAATCATGGAGGTCCTCTCAAGACTTCACCGTTGTAGTGTCATAGAAAGTGAGTTTAACCTAAACTCAACCCTATAAGACTAGAAGTAATATGAGAATTGTCCTCATTTATCTATTGTACTTTGGCATTATCTCTAGTTGATGGGGATCTTGAATTTTTCTGGATACACCCCCTCACATCCAGTTTTATTGGACCTTGGTATTGTATAACATAATAAGTGACCCTTTTAATGGATTTAGAATAGACTTTGATACCATTTCAAAAAGTGGTTTAGACCTAACTTAATCCTACGAAATCGGTTTTTAAGATAAGGATCATCCCCACTTATATATTGTATTTTAACACTATCTATAGTTGATGTGAAACTTGGTTTTTTCCAATATAGTGGAAACTCGTTTGTCTCAAGAAACAATTGTATTCCTTTTAAAAGTTCAAGTATCATAAATCTCCTGTCATTGCACTACATTTGGTTATATTGATCCTTTGACTGAGATTTATTACCAAAAATGTTGCATTTCAGAGTTCCCTTGCTGATCTTCCTCTGAAGAACTACTACAGATATGTTGTACCATCAATGGTATATATTGCACTTATGGCTTATAGATAATTCCAGAATAGATTTGAGGTTTGGGTTCTTAGGTTTTTATTACTTTTGCAGGATGATTTTAGCAGTGTTGACTCTTCAATCAATGGCCCAAAAGCATTTTTCGCTAACATGCCACTGTCTAAGACACTCACCATGAATCTTGATGTTCCAGAACCTTGGCTTGTTGAGCCTGTTATTGCTGTGTATGTATTATCCTTAACATTCATTGGATATAAAATCATTGACGTGGCTCCACTAACAGCAAAACATTTTAGGAGTTTTGGGCCTGTACACGGTACCCTAAGATTGAGCTAGTTGGTAGTGGCTCATGAATAACTTCATATGTACAAGAATGTATGCTAATTTAGTGATATCTTGATTCACCTTTTTTTTTTTATATTTATTTGTGTGGAAGTAGGGAGAGATAAAAGACTGATGTTGGAGTAAATCACATTGACATCCTCCCTCTTTTTGAAATTTAATTCACTTATAATCTCTTCTTCAATGACTTCAATGATAAACTATTCTAGACATATTTGATGCTGTTATACTTTGCCTGAAAAAGACTGTTTTCCTTGATAATATAGAAGCATGTGATAAATTTGAATAAACACTTCTCCTGTACTTTCAAATGATGTCTGCTGCAAAGAAGAATGAATGCTTGCCTGTGTCTAAAGATTCTGAATTTGAGTTGGTTTCATAATTGTCATAAGGTATGCTACTTTTCTGAAATTTAATTCTCTTGATAATATTTATTATGATTTCTCATGCTGCAGTCATGACCTGGATAACATTCTGCTTGAGAACCTTGGTGACACAAGAACATTGCAAGCAGTTTTTGAGCTTGAAGCTCTTGTCCTCACAGGTAAAATTGCATTTTGTTTATTTAAATATGCACGATGGTAATTCTTTTTATATCATCATAATAAAGCATTAATTGTTAAGTAATACATTCTAAGAATCCATTGTTGTTCGTTTCATTTTTTCATATATTAGGTCATTGCTCTGAGAAAGATCACGAACCTCCTCGAGGTCTTCAGCTGATTCTTGGAACCAAAACTACACCCCATTTAGTTGATACCATTGTGATGGCTAATCTTGGATATTGGCAAATGAAAGTCTCTCCTGGGGTTTGGTTTTTGCAGCTTGCTCCTGGAAGAAGTTCTGAGCTCTATATTTTGAAGGAAGGTGCTGATGGAATTCAGAATAAACAGTCATCAAAACTCATTACTATTAATGATTTGCGGGGTAAAGTAGTTCATATGGACGTAGTGAAAAGAAAGGGCAGGGAACATGAGAAATTGTTGATTTCTGATGATGATGAGGATCCACAAGATAAGAAGAAAGTGAGTACTTGCATTTAAAAGTTTTTTTTTTTTTTTAAATTGTTTGTGTCAAAGTAAAGAAAGAAAACATTATCCTTTAAATGCAAAAGCAAGTGCAAATCCTCGCATATTTCTTTGCAGGGAAGTGGCTGGAATTCTAATTTATTGAAATGGGCTTCTGGTCTCATTGGTAGTGGTGAACATCCTAAAAATTCTGAAACCAATGCAACAGTGAGTTTTTTTTCACCCTGTCCCTTTTTAAAAGATTCATTTACTCTTATTAGTTTTTGTAACCCCCTTTACAGATTACATTTATTAATTCTAATTTATTATCTAAGTTAGTAATATTTTCAATATTCATAGAAGGTTAATAGAAAATATACTAAGTGAACAATTAATTTAGGTAAGGTTTTATATTAAATCAAGCAACAAGTTCTAGTACAAAGTTTTCAAAATATTACAAGTCATAAAGTTATACTTATATGTTATACAATTCCCATCCTAAGCTCTGGATTTTTGCATCTGACATCTATCTCTTGAATTATGTATTCCTGCATCATACGTCACCAACATCTGGAATTGAAATATTTATGGGGTTAGACATTTAATTTTATCCACAACAAATAAAGCAAACATTCATACGATAAAATCAACCAATGAAAAATTCCTTCTAATAAATATACAACCGTATATAATTTAATTTAAAAATTAATTATGAGAAACAAATAAATAAATCATGGAATCATAATAGAGAATATAGTACAAATCATGAATAATTTACAATTTTATCATGCAATATGTTTATGATATGCACATGTGACTCCAAACGTAAAACTTTAAAATCATGCTTTTGACTCAAAATAAAAAAATTATTTTTGACTCGGTGCTCCATGGAGACTCATTTGAGTGTCTAGTGGAACCAGAGCTTAACATCACCCTGTCCGTGATTCGGCAATGTCCCACTAAACGCGAACAAGTAGACAGTGAGTCGAGTGTCAGTGCACTCGACAGTGCTACCACGACACGAGAATCAAATAAAGACTGACCACTTATGGAATTGCCCATGCCCAAACACTCCCTAGACCAGAGGTCCATCCCCATAGACCAAAGGTCCTGTCTTACCTATTCTACTCCCCCATTTACTATCAGAGATTCTGGTAGCTCAATTTTTAATAATTCATTCTCTGTCTCATTTGGCCAGCCATTTTCATAGTCATATTTCACTACCAGATGCTCTTGATAGTAAATTGACTCACAGTAAAATGTAAAAATTCTGTTTTACACATCATTATTCCTACCAACCGTCCTTGGTAGCAACTTAAGAGAAATTTCCAATTACTTTTCTGTAAAAACTTTTCCGTGACTTCCAGAAAACATTTCATGCACTATGTTTATGTCTCGTATGAAACAAAACAATCTATCATCAATTAAATACTTAAAAACATCTCCTTCATATATTCAAAATTTTAATTACAATTCATAGTTGTTTTAAGCAAGACAATTTTTATTAATAATTTATTTCATAGGGTTCAGTGTTTTGTCCATATCTTGAGTTCTAGACCTCATTTTAAGATGATTCCAATTGTGTTGGAAAGATAAGATAATAATCTATAACTTTGATGAAGGCACTATCCTCAACTTCTAATGTTTATTGAATCGTTTTCCTAGTAAACAAAGAGGGGGTAATATACTGTTTGACTTTATCTCCATTATACCCTTAACCTTTTTCAAAATTCCATTTATGTCCCTAATATGTGAAATGACTATTTTACCCTTGATCTTTTGCAAAAATTCCCACCTAGTCCTTTCTTCTTCCTTCGCTCGCTCAAGCGAGTACACCGGTCGCTTGAGCGAGATGGAACCCGAGAGTCCCCTTTTGTTTGAAGGCTTCGTCGCTCAAGCGAGTACGACCAGTCGCTTGAGCGAGACATGACCCTTAGTCGCTCAAGCTATGTAAGTTTCGCTTGAGCGATAAAGAACCCGAGAATCCCAAATTTTTCCAGTGTCCTCGCTCAAGCGATATATTTTTCGCTTGAGCGAATTTTGCAGATTTTCATCCAGTTCGCCATTTTCGAAATCCAGGTTTCTAATTTCTCAGTTTCAATCATTCAAATTAGTTCCAAATCAAAATTAAACCATAAACATGTTCAATTTAAGTTAAAAACAACAATTTTATTATATAATTCATCCTTAATTGAAAGAATTTCAACAATATTTCAAACTTTGCAATTGATGAATAGTAATCTCCAATTACAGACATTCGTATGAATAAAACTAAACGTCTAACCCATACCTGGCTCCTTCAAAATCTTATTATTCTCTTAATTTTTTATGCTCCCTTTTCCTCCTTTCTCTCAAATTCTTCTTCTCAGAATTCTGGTGCCTCTCTGTTGGATTTGTAAGTGACAGGAATTGTATGTTTTCGTGTAAGTAAGTTTTCAAATTTCTTCCTATTTATACACTTATCTTACCGACTTATAGTCCTTCTCGAATTTTCTTTAATTTTATTCTCCACCGCCTTATTTCACCGACTTAATTCAAAGGTTTTATTTACTTGATCTAAATCTACGGTCCCTGAATACCATTTCTCTCTTTTCGTGATTTTTTTTTTTCTAAATATTTATTTATTCATTTATTTAATTTTATTATTAAGAATTATTATTAAATTATTATTTGACACAATATTAACCTTGGATTTTATTTTATAATTTTCTTAAGACAAAATTACTATAAAAATCATGTTTTATTTTTATAATAACTCTACATAATATTCGGTACATATTTATAACTTACAAAATTTATTTATATAATTGATTGCAAAATTTAGGATATTACAATTCTCCCCTACTAATTAAAATTTCGTCCTCGAAATTTGTAATACATTCTATGTGAATAGATAAGGGTATTCACTTCTCATTTTCTCTTCCAGTTCCCATGTAGCGTCGCCTCTAACATCATCCCAGATAACCTTAACTAGTGGAATATCTTTTCCTCTTAGATGCTTAATCCTTCTTTGTTCTATCTTAACAGGACTTGGTTCAAAGGTGAGGTTTTCCTTCACCTGTACTTGATCAAGTTCTAGGACATGTGTTGGATCTGAAATGTACTTTCTCAATTGTGACACATGGAATACATCATGAAGATTTGAGAGAAAAGGTGGTAAGGCTATCTGGTATGCAACATTTCCAACCCGTTTTGTAATTTGATAAGGCCCAATATATTTAGGGGAAAGTTTCTTAGATTTAATAGCTCTGCCAATTCCCGTAATAGGTGTAACTTTCAAAAATACATGATCTCCTTCTTGAAATTCTAAAGGTTTCCTTCTCCTATCAGCATAACTTTTCTGTCGACTTTGAGCAGTTCTCATCTTATCTTGAATTATTTTTACCTTATTCGTTGTTTGTTGGATTATATCTGGTCCTATTAATAAATTTTCACCATCCTGATACCAAACTAAAGGTGTCCTACACTTACGCCCATAAAGTGCTTCATAAGGGGCCATACCTATACTAGAGTGATAACTATTATTATATGTAAATTCTACTAAGGGTAAAATTTCATCCCAACTAGATTTTTCTTCTAATACACAAGCCCTTAAAAGATCTTCTAATGACTGGATGGTTCTTTCAGTCTGCCCATCAGTTTGAGGATGATAGGCTGAACTGAGATGCAATTTACTTCCTAAAGCTTTTTGGAATTCTTTCCAAAATCTAGATACAAATCTGGGATCTCTATCTGAAACTATACTAGTTGGTACACCATGTAGTCTAACAATTTCTTTGATATATAATAATGCTAATTTATCTAAAGAGTACTTAATATTAATGGGAATGAAATGAGCAGTTTTTGTTAATCTATCCACAATCACCCAAATAGAATTGAAATTTCTAGAAGTTTTGGGTAAACCCATCACAAAATCCATGGATACACTATCCCATTTCCAAACTGGAATTTCTAATGGTTGTAACATGCCAGAGGGTTTTTGATGTTCTATTTTAATTTTCTGACATGTTAAGCAACGGGCAACATATTCTGCTACGTCCTTCTTCATTCCAGGCCACCAAAACATTTCTTTCAAATCCTTATACATTTTAGTAACTCCAGGATGTATACTTAATTTACTTTTATGTCCTTCTTCTAAAATTAAGTCCTTAATTTCTTTATTATCTGGCACACATACTCTATGTTTAAATCTTAATATATCATCCATTCCTAGATTAAAATCTCCAGCTTTATCAGTCCCTATTAATTTTCTCTTTTCTAATATAAACTTATCATCTCCTTGTTTATCTCTTATTTTATATAGGAACTCATTATTAATAGAAATCATTCCTAATTGTATTCTATCATTTTCGCTAATAGTGTATAAATTTAAATCTCTAAATTGTTCTATCAATTTCATCTCTTTAATCATCATAGTTGAAACATGAACAGTTCTCCTACTTAAGGCATCCGCTACTACATTCGCTTTTCCTGGATGATAAAATAACTGGAAATCATAATCTTTTATAAATTCCATCCATCTTCTTTGTCTCATATTCAACTCTTTTTGATCAAATAAATATTTCAAACTCTTATGATCACTATATACATCAAATTTAGATCCATATAAATAATGTCTCCAAATTTTTAAAGCAAACACTATGGCTGCTAATTCCAAGTCATGGGCAGGATAATTCATTTCGTGCGGTCTTAATTGTCTAGAGGCATATGCCACCACTCTCTTATTTTGCATTAACACACAACCCAATCCTTGATATGATGCATCACAATATACTTCATATGGCTCTATAGGATTTGGCAATATCAATATTGGGGAAGTTGTCAATTTGTGTTTTAACTCTTGGAAACTACGTTCACACCTCTCACTCCAAATGAAAGGCTGATTTTTCCTTGTTAGTTGTGTCAAAGGTCCAGCTATTTTTGAAAATCCTTCTATGAATCTTCGATAATATCCTGCCAAGCCTAAAAAGCTTCTAATCTCAGGTCACATTTTTAGGTTGTTCCCATTGTAATACAGACTTCCACTTTTGAAGGATCAACACTTATGCCTTCTTTAGAAATTACATGACCTAGAAATTTTACTTTTTCCAACCAAAATTCACACTTGGACAATTTTGCATACGATTGTTTATCTTTTAAAATTTTTAATACCGTTCTAAGATGATTTTTATGTTCTTCTTTGTCTTTTGAGTATATCAGGATATCATCAATAAATACTACTACAAATT